CTAGCCTACAGCAACAGCCCCTGGGCGTCTTCCTGTGCTGGCTCCTTTGTGACAAGAAGGATAGCGAAGCCCGCGTTTCTGCCATTGCACTACCGGGCATGCTAAATGCATTGCTTAACCGGTAGAGAAAATGCCGCCCAAGGGGGAAAGTCTGGGACACCTTGCAAGGTCCGCCCTCCTTGATGTGGCCAAAAGGAGCAGGGACGCCCTTCCGCTGGGTACAGGCCCAGCAGGACAGATCCGCCGAAGTGTTGTGGCCGTCGACGATCTTATAGCCTTGACGAAGGAGATAGTGTGCCGGAGCCATGCCGCGTTTGCCGGCCAAAGGCCGAGCCGTCATCCCTCCGGTAGGGAACGCACGATCTTCAAGTGACGAGCTCCTGCACGGCAGACATCGACGCGGCAACTCAGCCTATATCGTCGGATTACGTGCCGCCTGAGGATCGTCGAGTAAAGAGACTTCTGCGACCGCGTTAGATGAGCGACTGGCCGTCAGGGCGGATCGCCTCGACCTGCGCTGACGCAGTGTCATCATGCCGTCAACGCGATAGTCTGGCCCGTGTACGCCGTTAGGAGGCTGCCCCGTCATGAACGCCCAGAGGCCTGACGAGGACCGCGGTGTCTGACTCTTTGGCAAGCCCGCCTATGGCTGACCGCCGCCCTCCAAGCGGAGCCGCCCCGTCCGAGCCTCCTCTAGCGTCTATCTACTCTGCCACGAGCCCACCGGCAAGCTGAGACGGAAGGTCGCCGCCGCCGGTGAGGTGTTGCCCTCCTTCTCAGGCTAACCGCTTGGGGATAGTCAGGCCAGGCGAAGCGTGCACCCTTGCCACGTCGTTGCTGAATTCCGTGCCAGCCTAGTAGCTAACCAGCATATGCTTTAGAAATATTGCGAGGACAATACCGCTAACACTTACGTAATTGTACCGCCTGGCCTGCCGGTGAAGATGTATGATATTAGTTCGGTTTGCCATTTCTTAGACGCAGTCGTGCAGATAGGTCTGATCGCCCGCTTTTCCTCCTGACTGTTACGAGTGGCAGTATAGTGTCAGATCCGGGGTAGCCAGAGTCACGCCCTCTATTCGCCCGGCTGCCCACGCGCATGCTTAGCCAGGTCGCTGGGTCGCATGGCGTCTGTCGAAAGCGGTGGGCATGTCCCGTCCGGTTGCCCTGCCGACGATGTGCGAAGGGCGACATCTTCTCACAAACCACGCCACCTCTGTACGATATCGAGTTTGCGCTCTAAGCAAACTATTAGCACAACCACTAGTACAAACACGCTGTAAGGATGCATATGCATTGTACAGTGTACGACTGTGTGTGGTGATAAAAGGTTGCGAAGTGAGCGTGTTCCTTCCCTGCATACCACCGCGGCGGTAGATAGAGGTGAGAGCCGAGGGCATTCGCTTGCTAGACACTTCGTCTATCGTCATACCACCATCTCGTATACTGGTCTCTAAAGGTTGGCACGGTTAATCTGACAGTTTTGGCGCCTATGTAATTCGGACAGTATTAGGCGCTACGCTCGCCGCTCTATCTTCATTACATTATTGCACAAAATCACGTACAGAATTTACGGTGTGGCGCGGGTAGTGCACTCAGGCAGAATTTTCTATGCCTATGAACCGTGATGGTAGAATCCTACGGCAAAATTGTTCCCCTGTCGCTCGAAACATAGAAAACCTTACGTGCATTGCTGAATATCAGCTTGCCAGGCTATCACCTTGTGTGACCGTCACCTCGAGTGACCGTCACGCTCGTGCTGACCGTCACCTTGTGTGCACCGCTCACCCTCGAGTGACCCGCTCACCTCGTGTGTTGACGCCCTGCTTCGGCTTATTATCCGTAGAACACTTGTTGTGTGTGGTTCTCATTTGTTGGAAGGCCAGGAAGGGCAGCTTCAAGAGCAGGTGAAGCTGCGTATGAAGCCCTGCCTTGCACGCTACTCACTTGCAATCGTATACGCAGATGCCCCGCCGTTGTAAGCGTCTTCCGTCCCCACGTCTTTTCCCCACGTGTTGACGGAGGAGAGTAGGGTCGACGCAGGTTCAATGCGTGGGGTTTTCTCGTGCCCGAGAAATGTGTGGCCTCGGCGAGCTGGCTTGGGGTGTCGCCGGTCTATATGCGAGATGATCACTCGTTCTTCGGCGAGTACCGGCCGATATTCGGTGGTATAAGAAACGCAGTATTCGGCAGGGTAGAAAATCACTGTTCGACGAGATAACCATGGTCGAATGATGAGCGGGAATCGAAACGTTACTAGTGATACAAGCGCTAGGCCGCCATCTATAGTTAGTAGTACATGATCGACTGTGGGGAGAGAGCATGCATCGATCTTGTCACGTGTGAGAGCACTCCGAACCGAGGCGAGACGCGTTGGCACCGGTTAGCACATCATTGATATCTAGGCCCGCTATGTTGGGGTATGAAATGCGTCGATACCAGTGCCCACGAGACGCTGCTTAACGGTCACCGGGATGCACTAAGTGCGATGGGCTCCGTTCTCCTGTGAGTTGCTCAGAAGACCTGCTCCTTTCACGGTCACGTCGCGTGCCGACATCGCACCCCCCGTGTCGACAACATATCGCGCGCTTGTCGCACCTTACAGTCACAGCACAAGATGCGCAGAACATCGTTGCCTACTATGGCCCTCTCCCTTAAATTATCACACACCAGCCGTTCAAGCTTGACGGTTGATGGTTATAGTGCAGTGCGTGAGAAGCATGGTCTGTAAACCGTCATCACGATAGCCCGCCCTTCTGCGCACACTGCTTTAATGATTGAAATTCTACACCATTGATGCAGGTAATGTTACTATCGGTCAACGCCGGTCGGCGAACAACAAGCCCGCCACTCGCCGAAAGTGAGGAGCAACAACGTTCACTCGGTTCTGACCGCCCTCTACTAGGTAGCTCGGAACTCACGACTCTCTAGGTAGACCAGCACGGGGTTTTCCGCTAGCGAGTCGTGTTTTAGCACGAGTCCCCTTCACGCACGGAAACGCGCTGCCCAGAAACCTAACCAGCGAAGCTAGCTTTTCTAACTTGTGGCGACGCCGGCTCACTGGACGCCACGGATAGAATTACAAAGAGGACTCTGTAGCCGGAAAGTAGCCAGGCGTATATCGCAACCCTCGGCAATTGGATCAGTTGCGAAATTCTGCGGCGCTGATGAGTGCTAGTCTATCCACGCATCAGTTGAAGTATGTACACTGTGACAGGTAGTTGCAGCCTGCTACCTAGCGACGGCGAGACGTCCAGATGACCTCATACTAAACCTATGGGCGTGCTTTGCTGCACTTTCCGATAAGGCCGTACTATACGTAGAGGATAGCGAGCTATTCTCCCGTATGTCAGACGTCGGAGGCACGACGACACACATGCATGCTAGATTGAGCACTGACACGGCGGAGAGCTGTCACTCATCTATGATCGTGGGTATAGAATGCAGAGGGAACGAGCTTATTTCGCGTTCTCCCATCGGCGTTGCCCACAGGTTCTATCTGTAAGATAGCCGCGAATCCCTTCTTGCGTTCACTACCGCATTAACGACTTCAGTTAAAGATATCACGAGAGATAACCAATACGTAGAACGACCCAGGCAGCCCAATGCTACTAGCCATTCCCCGCTATGAGTTATTAGCTCCGGCGCTCCTATTGGTGTTCGGCGTGGAGTGTTTTGCGACGAACACGAAATCTCTTGTTCTAAGTCGCTATGCTATCTCAAGCTGGATTTCATTGACGCCACTGAGCGGCCAGTGAGTATACCTCGGGGAGGTATAGTGCGTTACGGGCCACGCCGACGTCGCACGGGAGGTATCCATCTGGTGCACTTCTCGGGCGCCACTGCATAGCTCGACATGTAGGGCGATCGTCGGGAACCGGGGGATCCAACATCGTCTCCTGATGATAAAGCCGTATTACCGGTAAGGGCATGCGTCGGGCTTCCTCCTCCTTCCCTTCCTCCTTTTCCTCTTCCGTGTATGGGCGATACTCGCCAGACCTTGCCTGTCGGCGTAACCACCCGCCGATAGTGGGATGCGCTGCTGGCTGGGAGGGCATGCGAATGTGTCGTTAGCTGTCACCCCAAGGGATGACTCTTGCGGGCAAGAGCTCCTAAGAGAGACAAGGGGCTGAGTGCCAACGAACTCTCTGGCCTGCCATAGCCTCATATCCCGCCCTATCCTATCGTCCTGGTCGCGGTGTCCTCAGGCATCTCAAGTCTCGAATGTTACAGGTCGATCCTTGGGTGGTATGCAGCCGATCACGTGGATTCCCACCTGTGTCTATGTCAGAAACCTGTGGGGTGATGTGTGCGCTTGTCACTGCTGATCGCTGCGTGACATAAAAGCATGACCTTGATCACGCGTCTCTCGTGAGCGATTGATGGGCCAGGTAAGAAGCCCTACCCCCGCTGGAGCTTGCTAGCTATAAATGCTGCGCTCTGCTCTCCAGTAAGGCAGTAGTATCCCGATCTGGGGAGCGACCGAGACGGGCGTCAACGCCAGCACTTGCACGCCACAAGCTGCGGGCGCCTTCATCTTTCACGGAGGCACGTAAGCCATACCACGCTATCTAGTCTAACCCCTGCACAGGGCAAGCAACCTCACTAAGGGTGCTTAGTGTAGTACTGTTTACGCCGCCTCTCACCGCTCTCCATCGTGCTATATCTTCTGTACTCCAGCGGGACAACGCTTCCTGCTGTGGGATTCTGCTGCCACCCATCTTTATAGCGTTCACCCTTAGTGTCTGTTGACTAAGGCCGATATAATAGCCCCAGGGTCCTGAGTTGCGGCCTTCGCTCTCGTGATACACTTTGTATCAGCTTGTTCTGCTTTTACGCTGTTGCTATTGTCTTGTGTTTGACACTATGACTACAACAGCTGGCTCGGAACCTTCATTGGCGTCGTCACAACGACTCAGTACGTAAAATCGCTGTGCCCCACTACTATACTACTTATAATTAGTTACTATATATTACTATATAGTATATATTATACTACTCGGCCGTGACGATCTTCATCACTTTCAACAGCAGAATCCTGTATCGTAGAATCACAAATTAGTGAGAGTTACCATGATTCCATAAACCTTAATAAAAAATGCTCTGTGAAATGTTAAGTCCTGCTTTTAAACAATTATACTCAATCATATATTGATAATAATAATTTTATTATTATTCACACAGTTATGTATAGGCATTTATCTCATTGCTCATCTAGTATTTCTGCATCCTTAGTGCAGGGGTTCTTATACATAAGAGCAAGATAAGAGGCACAGTGGCGCACCGCCGTTGCCAAATTTATTATCGCTGTTGTGAAAATGTTCCTGTATTTACCCTCCATTGTCAAAATAGTGTCAACTCAAAAATAAATAGATCACCACGTGCTTCTGGCATATATTTAGATTGCCATGTGTATTTATTGAGTTATGTGACGTGGGGTCTACACTTTTCCGTTACTTGATTTGTTGGAGTGCCATCTATTTTTTCCCCAAACTGGCCATTACCTCCTTTGTCTAATTTTCCCTCAGAAGAAACCCTGTAATGGTTCTTTTATGTCCCAATTACTGACAGGTTGTAATTTTACATGGTCATCTGAGCAATGAGGGATTCAGTCCCCAATGCTCAGAGCTGTTTTACACCTTGAGAAAGTACACTGCCCTAGCTAGTATTTGAAGTCACAGGCATCGCAGTCAGTGAAAGGTGGACATGTGCACTGGACCACCGAGCTCTCTAAGGTGCTTAACAGTTATATTCAATATTCGAAAACGTTTACTTGTGCACATAATAAGTATTTTCACAATGTACAATCCAGTAATGCATTATACAGTAAATGAACTTAGTCTTAAAGGGATCGTTTACTCTAGGTTCTAGGGTCATTTTCAGTTAATTTAGGTTAAAATTACGCTACATAAAAAGTTTCATCGTTCAACCACCATTAGAAATATTATTAAACAAGTGCCGCGGAGCGACAGCGCTCATCTAACGTCTACTGCGGTGACTCTGTGGTGGAGTGGTGGGATTCTAG